CCTATGGGGCGCGCTCGGCTGGTGGCCGTGGAGACGGCGTCCCTGGGGAGAAGGGAGCCCTGGTGCCTCTTGCGGCTGCTGCTAGGTGCCTGCGTGTTCGGCCTGCCCCAGGCCATCAACCCCTTCGCGGTGCAGCAGATGAGAGCGGCGCCCCCCGGCGCTGCATCCCGGAGTTCGTCAACGCCGCCTTCGGCAAGGAAGTGCAGGCCTCCAGCACCTGCGGGAAGCCTCCCTCGCGCCACTGCGACGCCTCCGACGCCCGCAAAGCCCACCCGGCGGCCTACCTCACCGACCTCAACACGGCCTCCAACATGACCTGCTGGCGCTCCGAGAGCCTGCACCACTCCCCGCACAACGTCACGCTCACCCTCGCCCTGGCCAAGAAGTTCGAGGTGATCTACGTCAGCCACCAGGGAGGGCATGGTGCGGCCCGGGGGAACGGCAGTACCTGTCCGCCGAGGGGCCCCGGTGCGATACCAGGGAGGGCATGGTGCGGCCCGGGGGAACGGCAGTACCTGTCCGCCGAGGGGCCCCGGTGCGATACCAGGGAGGGCATGGTGCGGCCCGGGGGAACGGCAGTACCTGTCCGCCGAGGGGCCCCGGTGCGATACCAGGGAGGGCATGGTGCGGCCCGGGGGAACGGCAGTACCTGTCCGCCGAGGGGCCCCGGTGCGATACCAGGGAGGGCATGGTGCGGCCCGGGGGAACGGCAGTACCTGTCCGCCGAGGGGCCCCGGTGCGATACCAGGGAGGGCATGGTGCGGCCCGGGGGAACGGCAGTACCTGTCCGCCGAGGGGCCCCGGTGCGATACCAGGGAGGGCATGGTGCGGCCCGGGGGAACGGCAGTACCTGTCCGCCGAGGGGCCCCGGTGCGATACCAGGGAGGGCATGGTGCGGCCCGGGGGAACGGCAGTACCTGTCCGCCGAGGGGCCCCGGTGCGATACCAGGGAGGGCATGGTGCGGCCCGGGGGAACGGCAGTACCTGTCCGCCGAGGGGCCCCGGTGCGATACCAGGGAGGGCATGGTGCGGCCCGGGGGAACGGCAGTACCTGTCCGCCGAGGGGCCCCGGTGCGATACCAGGGAGGGCATGGTGCGGCCCGGGGGAACGGCAGTACCTGTCCGCCGAGGGGCCCCGGTGCGATACCAGGGAGGGCATGGTGCGGCCCGGGGGAACGGCAGTACCTGTCCGCCGAGGGGCCCCGGTGCGATACCAGGGAGGGCATGGTGCGGCCCGGGGGAACGGCAGTACCTGTCCGCCGAGGGGCCCCGGTGCGATACCAGGGAGGGCATGGTGCGGCCCGGGGGAACGGCAGTACCTGTCCGCCGAGGGGCCCCGGTGCGATACCAGGGAGGGCATGGTGCGGCCCGGGGGAACGGCAGTACCTGTCCGCCGAGGGGCCCCGGTGCGATACCAGGGAGGGCATGGTGCGGCCCGGGGGAACGGCAGTACCTGTCCGCCGAGGGGCCCCGGTGCGATACCAGGGAGGGCATGGTGCGGCCCGGGGGAACGGCAGTACCTGTCCGCCGAGGGGCCCCGGTGCGATACCAGGGAGGGCATGGTGCGGCCCGGGGGAACGGCAGTACCTGTCCGCCGAGGGGCCCCGGTGCGATACCAGGGAGGGCATGGTGCGGCCCGGGGGAACGGCAGTACCTGTCCGCCGAGGGGCCCCGGTGCGATACCAGGGAGGGCATGGTGCGGCCCGGGGGAACGGCAGTACCTGTCCGCCGAGGGGCCCCGGTGCGATACCAGGGAGGGCATGGTGCGGCCCGGGGGAACGGCAGTACCTGTCCGCCGAGGGGCCCCGGTGCGATACCAGGGAGGGCATGGTGCGGCCCGGGGGAACGGCAGTACCTGTCCGCCGAGGGGCCCCGGTGCGATACCAGGGAGGGCATGGTGCGGCCCGGGGGAACGGCAGTACCTGTCCGCCGAGGGGCCCCGGTGCGATACCAGGGAGGGCATGGTGCGGCCCGGGGGAACGGCAGTACCTGTCCGCCGAGGGGCCCCGGTGCGATACCAGGGAGGGCATGGTGCAGCCCGGGGGAACGGCAGTACCTGTCCGCCGAGAGGCCCCGGTGCGATACCAGGGAGGGCATGGTGCGGCCCGGGGGAACGGCAGTACCTGTCCACCGAGGGGCCCCGGTGCGATACCAGGGAGGGCATGGTGCGGCCCGGGGGAACGGCAGTACCTGTCCACCGAGGGGCCCCGGTGCGATACCAGGGAGGGCATGGTGCGGCCCGGGGGAACGGCAGTACCTGTCCACCGAGGGGCCCCGGTGCGATACCAGGGAGGGCATGGTGCGGCCCGGGGGAACGGCAGTACCTGTCCACCGAGGGGCCCCGGTGGTTGGTCTCCGCTGGAGCCCGAGGGCCAGAGCCAGCTCAGGCGTGGGGCATGTGCAGGGTCCCACGCCGAGCAGCCCCCCGGGGCGCTGCAGAGTGCCCAGTGGAGTTACCCCAGTTTGGAAGGGGCTGGGGTCAGGGTTGCTCACAGACGGACCCAAAGAAAGCCAACGTGCAAAACTCGGGACTTAGGTGAAACTTTCGGAAAAGCACAAACTGAGACGCGACCAAAAGGGACGGCTGAGCAAGCCAGGAATGTCCCCGTCCCTGGTGCTGGCCATGCCCGGAGCAGCCCCGCTCAGGCCTGTGCAAAGGGGCTGAGGGATTCCGAGCAGGGTCCGGGGGGATGAATCGCTCGGCCCCGAGTCTCCTCAGCCCCTTTGCACAGAGTGTTCGAGGATGTTTCCCAAACCCCAGCTCTGCCCAGCCTGCGGTCTCCCCCCCACCCGGGCATTGCTGAACTGCCCCGGGTCCGTGGCCCCCCCGGCCCCGCTAGAGACAGCAGTGTGCCCCTGCCCTGCCCAGCAGGGAGGAGGCTG